TGGCTACGTGAACCCAGAGCTGCTCCCATGATTTCCTGGCTGTGTTATCTGTATTTCTGTATTTCAAGCATAGGGACTGATGTTAATGTACAGCTGAGTTGCTTTCAGTGGGGGGGACTTGAATGCAGACCCATGGGCACATCTAGAGAAACAAAGCTCAGGCGTCTGGTGTGCGGTGATGCTATTCTAAGCCTGGTCTGGTCTGGGGGCTTTATCTGCCTTTCCCGGGCAGGAGAAGGGCTGTAATCAGCCCCAAATGGCTGAGACAGTGTGTCTCCAGCCCCCGGCTCAGCAGATTGCAAAGGGCAGAGCTTCCATTTGTCAGTGAGTGAAGCCAGGAGCTGCCATCCTCCTCCGCACCACACTGGGATGGGGATGTATAAATAGCCCCAGCATCCCTGGCCCCGTGCACACTCACACACCGGCTGCTAATGCCTCAGCGAGCAGGGCCAGGTTGCTTTACCCAGGGGGAAAAATTCACAAGCATCACAGGCAGCTTAACAGCATCGGACAGATTTTGTTTTCCCTACAAACGTGGCTGCGGTCCCTGGGCTGCATCTGTCTGCTTGAGATGCCCATCTCCAGTGAGCTGCAGGCCTGATCCTGCCTCCCCAAGGAGCTGCCCGACTGCTGCAAAAGTGTTTCTGCCACAAGGAGAGGGAGAGGAGATTGTTCTTCTTTCTGGGGTTTTGATTTTAGAAAGCCTGTGGTATCCCCTGCTCCACCTCTCACATCTCCAGGATGGGTCAGTGTTTAATGAGCACGCTCATCCCAGCATCCTTCGGGCTGAAATACTGAGTAAATCCACGTGTGCTTATCCACAGTCAAATCTTGCCTGATGCCAAAGAGGCAGAAGTAGCCAGTAGCAGACCAGTGCATTTCTGAGATTCAGTGTCACCTACCAACCTGTAAAAATATATGCGTGCCTGCCTCATTTGCAATGGTTCACCTGGGAATGCTAAATAATTCAGAGCATATCCTTCAATGAAAAAAGGCTCAGGCAGCTTCAAATAGTTTATAGAAACAATAAATATGACTGTAGAATTGAGGAAAAAAATAAATAGATTTGGAAAAATGAAAGAAGCTATGAGGAGATGATGAATTTCCAAAAACAGATTTATCATTCCTAAACTTGAGACTATAGTCTGTATTGTGAGCAGTTCCCAAATAGCTGTTAAATGATGTGCATGGTCAACAGAGGTAAGTGAGGAACTGGTAGAAGAAGAAAAGAAAACAAGTGCTTTTCTGACCTCCCTTTTTTTTTTTTTTTTTAATGATTCTGTGATGCAACACTGCCCAGAGTCTGAGGGGTTGGAACTAAAGGATCTTTAAGGTCCCTTCCAACCATAGCTATTCTATGATTCTATATGATTCTATATGATTCATATGATGATGAACCATACTTGAGGGTTGGTCATCAAAAACAATCCAAGAGCTGGCCAGCTCCTCTTCCTACAAAGTCAAAACACACAGGTGGGAAGGATAATCCTGATGTAGGGTGAGGACCAAAACTCTGGAGCCCATTGTGTTGAGGAAATGGTCTTTGCCTTACGGAGCAGCGTTGTCTTCCTGCAATCACTACCAGGGCAGGCAGTGGGGAATGAGGCTCATAGAGATGCAATTAGGGGCTCTGGAGCTTGATAGACACAGATTCTGACTTCACCATCTTTGATGTAGAGAAGTCCTTGAGAAATGAAAATGTCATTCCTGCCACTGTCATGAGAGTAGAAATAAAATATGGAGTGAGGTATCTGGACTGACTTTGAGTCAGTGATTGTCCTCTGTTGTCACAGATGTTATGTCCAGATGGAAAAAAATATATATATATTAAATTCACAAATCATATTTTCTTGAAGCATTTTATAGGCAGTGATTTTAAGTTGGCATGATCTGGGGACCAAACTGAGTCTCAGGAAAGAGAAGGAAGATGTGCTAGTGAGTAATCATGAACAGTCATTGAGTAAGGGTGGTAAGTGGTGAGCAGGATTCTGGTTATGGTCATGGTGGGTTATCTGGAATAGTGTTCCAGTGTCAGAAGGATGACACTGCATTGCCCCTGTGCACAGAATCACCGAATCACAGGATCACAGAATCACCAAGGTTGGAAGAGACCTTCAAGATCATCCAGTCCAACCTATCACCAATAGTACTCACTAAACCAGAGAAGATCAACACATAGAAAGAACTCTCCAACAAGACACTTTGCAGCTAGATATGAGCAGAACAGGGTAAACTTGATAGTAGACAGTATAGGTATGAAATATTCTGTTTTTCATGGTTTATTGGTCTGCCAAATCTTTCTGGGGTCCATCAGTTCTATGTTTGGCAAGGATTGGCTCTGTTGTGCGAGCTGCCTCAGTTACGCCAGCTGTATGATTAGATGACAGCTAATAAGCACAGATTTGCTGAAATATTCTCTGTTTGGTAGCTTTGCTATCAAAATCTTCATCAGCAGTTGGATTAGCTGTAGAAAATGAGCAGCTACAACACAAGATAGTGGATTATGTAAATTGGTGGGAGTTATTTAATCCTCCGGTCTGAGTCAAATCTTGATAGTGTTTTCTCTATGGAGTTAAATACATCATTGAACCAGCGCATACAAGGGAAAAATACTAAAAAATAGCTAAGTATTTTTTTAATACTAAAAAAAATATATTAAGTTGATTAATAGTTAATGGACTGTTGCTTAAAACAAGTGCCTAACTGTCCATAACACAGTTCCCCCCTCCAAAAAAAAAAAAAAACAACCCAATCCCCCCAAAAAAAAACACTGTTAGACTTTTAATTCATGTTATATTGGCTATACATGGGCCATGAAATCCTTCCTACACAAACATCAAAAGCAAAGTTTGAGCTTTCTGGGCCACAGGGTATGACCAAGTCCTTTGTTAGAGCTGTCCTGGCATGAGTAAAAAAATCAGGTCAAAGCTCTGCCAGCATGATCTGCCTACCCTATGTCCTCTGGGTCACAATTGGCTCCACCATTAGAGATCCTACAGATGTTTTGGTAAAGCAGACTGAGGCCTCCCAGAACATACCAAAAAGCCAAAAATCCTTGGTAAACTGCCACCAAGCATCAAGAGAAGAGAGAAATGCAGAGGATGAGAGTCTAGTTTGTTTGGTTTTTTTATGTGCTGCAGAATTTGGCTTAGGAAACTGGAGGAAATGTCACTCAGCTCCATTGCCTTGTGTTGTCTTAAGCCAGTTTTGCCTGACGCCATACAACAAAACACAGCCTGTCCTTTTTGGGTGAGCAGTGGGATTCACACTTTAACCTGCTCTTGCACCTTTTCTTCAGGTTCTGGGAAGACTTAGTGGTGTTAAATTGGTCACCCACAACTTGCTGTAGCTATTTTCCATTGGGAGGACCCATGGCCATTAGATGTTGAGCCATTCAGCATGAGCTGCTCTGTGAGCAAACACAGAAGGCACCTCTCCTTGACTGCAGTGTTGCTCAGCTTGAGCAATATGCCAACAAAGGGCAGGCCCAAATTTCATTATTCATCCTTTACCTGGGAACTGGATCCTGCCCTAGGGCAGCAAATACAACTTGCTATACTGGGGGCAACCAGACATCTTGTGAGCTTTGTTTTGTAGCTCTGCCCCTGAGGAATACAGGGTGTGATTGTACCTCCTCCACTTTTAATTAATGAGACAGTTGAATAATGCAGTTATCTGACAACATGAGAAATTATCAATTTAAGAAGCTCTGCTGCTGGTGACAGACACATTTGCTACCTGTTGCTTCTCTCGGAGGGCACTGTGAAGGATTAGTTTGTATTTAAGAGATGTTGTGTACGATTACTGATGCACTGTTTTGCAAAACATTTGTTTCTCCTAGATCCTCTCACTGTTTCCTTTTACTGGCATCTGGCTTTCTTTGTACACCTTCTGCTCCCAAAAGGATGTGAATAGAAAGTGCTTGGGGCTCCCTGAGCTCCTGTGCTGGATGGAAGGGAGATGGAAGCAGAAGGGTTTCAAGCTGGGGAGGCACCATGTGCATGTCTGGGATGGCAGTCGGTGTCTGATGGTGCTGTTACTCCTTGAAATTTTGAGCCATTTTTGAAGATTGCAACAATTATGTGGTTTTTAGGAAGATGAGGTGTCCAAATAAGTGTATAAAGAGGCAGGTGTCCCGTCCTGGGGCTGATCCCCAGCAAGGAGGCATCTATCAAGGATAGACTCTCTCAAGTCCCATTCTCCAGTGCTGAACTGCCTCTCTCCTTAGTTTAAGAGCCAAATTTTTGTCACAATGCCTGGCAGTGCTCTGGGAATGTAGAAATGAACGTGCTGGTTTGGGCCATAGGCTCATCCAAGCAAAGATCTTTTGGGAGATGAAAGCCAGAACCAGATGTTTGCAAAAAGCCTCCAGTGTGGATATCTTTCACACCTCATTTCCCCTTCATCCCCACCAGTCTCATGGCTGATCTCACAGCAGCTCATGTTGTGCTTTCTACTGCCACTCTCCATCAGCTGGAAAGGGCCTCAGCAAAAAAGCACGACGACAGCATGTCCCTCTCATGTCTTGCAGTCAGGAGGAAACAGAGATTATTTCTGTTCTTTTTAGACAGGCAAAGAACTACCTTGACTTGCATGGAAAGTCAGCAACCTTTGGAAACTTCTCTGAGCTGATAACAGAAACAAATTTCAGACAACACTTCTTTTTTCCTTCTCTGAAACATTGAGACTTTTGTTCCTCTTCTTTTTGAGACAGACAAACCAAAACAAGCTGAATCAGTTTCCAGCAGTACACACTTCACTTTGAAGCCAAAATCAGCTTTGAACCCAATCCCATGTTTTGATTCTGATGTGTTTTGGAGGAAAAAAAGTCAAAATCAACATTTGTTTTCTGTGTAATCAGCGTTAGCTGACCTTTTCTTTCTCCCTCTGCCTTCAGGAAGAGGAGACAAACATCTGTGTGCCCAATTCCAGCTCTGGATGGGCAACCAGGTGCCCTGAACCTCACCGGCCCCGGTGACGGCCGTGCTCTTCTCTTCCAGGTGCTCCATTTCAAAGGTCTCAGCATCCCCATGCTACCTCCTGCCGACATTTCCACCTGGGTCCCCAGCCTCAGCTCTCCGCCGACTTCACCCTGCCTCACACGGTGCAGCCCCAGCCGGGGCTGACCCCACACATGACCCCTGCACACCAGCACAGCGGTCCCCTGCACCAATCCCTAGCCCCAGTGCCAGCCCTGCCCTTCCAAGATGTGGCCGGACCATCCTTCCTACCTCAGGCGCTACACCAGCAATACCTCCTCCAGCAGCAGCTCCTTGAGGCCCAGCACCGCCGGCTCATGCCCCATCCCAGGTAAGGGGTCTTGTGTTTCCCAAATGTGGTCTACAGTGTATGAAGTCATAGGTTCACAGAATGCTTTGCGTCATATGCATCCAAGCTGCTGCCATGGGCAGGGACACCACCACCAGACCAAACTGTCAAGGGTCCCATCCAACCTGGCCTTGAGCACCCAAGGGATGGAGCATCCACACCTTCTCTGTGATGCTGGGAAGCTGCCAGTGTCACTTCAGCAAAGCTCTGGCAGAACTTCCTAATAACATTGGGTTCTTTTCATAAGATCACCCACGTTCTCTCAAAACACATCTACCAGAAAGCTGCATGCTAGGTTGCACCAGTGGGTGAACCTCTCCCGCAGGGATCCATGCTGTGCTCACCTAGCATGTCCAAACGTCACCTGGTGTCATCTCTCAGTCAGTCACACTGGTCATCAGCCCTACGTGATCAGTCAGTCACATCATCATCGGTTACAGTGGAAACACCTTGATGTTGCTGTGAGCCTATCCTGCATCTCAGAGGGAGCAGCAGACTGCATGAGTGAGCCGTCTTCTCATAGCTGCTGCTTCAAAAGCACGTGAGACATGGCATCCACTCAACCCATTGGGTTTTTCGCTTGAAGAGCTCACTCCTCTGGATCCAGGCTCTGTGCAGGGAGGGAATAAAGACACTGATTTGGAGCACTTTCAATCAAGAAAAGCAGCCTAGATTCATGTTGGTCTGATGACTGCAGGGAGGATTACTGTAGCTCAGGAGAGGTGGGAAGGGATGCCTGGCCTTATCCTGATAGTGTTTCTTGAGAGAGAAGCTCAGATAACACGTAGGAGAGGAGTGCTTTTTTTGGAAATATATGGAAGCTATTTATGGATTGTACCCATAGACCAAGAATGAGGGAATGAGTCTTTGCAGTGACGCCTCATTTGGAAAGAATGCTACAGACAGGAAGGTCTTTCTTTCTTTTTCTGTCTGCAAACTGTGGATTCTTCTCACCCTGCTTTTATTTTGCATAAGCTGGATTTTAGGTGGATTTAATGATTAGTTAATAATTGGGTAGCAAATATGTGCAAGGCTGAGGCACTGATGATACAAGCATTTATCTCTTAGTCATAAGCTCAGTTCAAATAAAACCACAGAGCACAGCTCCATGTAGAAGTTGCTTTGATACCTACTGGCAGTATTATCTCAGCCAGTGGGCTGTCAGAGAGAAGGAAGTGTGATACAAGGAGGGCAGCAGCCTCTCACCCAGCCTCGCAGCCTGGTTCTGAAAGCATCCAGCATAGCAGGAGGGGCTCAGAAACCTTTCAGACATGGGATGTGAAGTCCTATGAATTGGATTCTAGATGGTGCCTTCAAAGGTGAGAAAAGACTGAAGTCCTTAGAAAGATCTCAGTGTATTTCCACTCCAAACTCAGCAGAGCAGGAGCAGGAGGAGCTGGTACCAGCCTGGCATATCCATCATCCATGGAAATATTGGTGGGAGAAAATTCTGTCTGCAGTTTCTCCTGACTGATTCTGTTAAGAATGAGGTTCCCCAAGAGTTTATGGACTGTGCAGGGAGATGAGACAACCTGCAGCTTCTTTATGATGATGGATAATGCTTGGACCAGGAAGACATTTTATCTTGTAACTGTTGTTTATGGGGCTGACAGCAGGGAAAAGAAAATAGTGCCACTATCACAGAATGGCTAAGGAAGAGGTTTAGTTTCCTCTTTTTCCTCTCACGCTGCAGCTCCTGTAAACATATGGATGCTGCAAGAGGTGAGAGTGGAGGTCTGCATCATGTCCATGATGATAAAATTCTGTGCTTCTGCACTCCTCTTCCCATCATTCCTTACCTCTACCTAGACTCCTCTCTTGCAAGCCCAAAGTTTTGGATTTTCCCACTGTTTATCAGTGTTGGCTTAGCTCAGCAGTGTCCACTGACTCACTTCTGGTCTCCTCCCCAGGCGGGCTCAGGAGCGCATGTCCGTTCAGCCTCACCGTCTGCACCCCAGCTTTGACTTCAGCCACCAACTGCAAACCCCACAGCCCATGGCACCCCAGCCCAGATACTTGGCCGAAGGTACAGACTGGTAAGTCATCCTCATTTCCTCAGTATGTAGAATGAGCTGCTCGGAAAGCCCTAAGGAGGCTGGATGGGTAAGCGAATGCCTTCGTGGCTCAGTGCTTCCATGAGAGTTGATGGTTCAGTTCAACAAATACAACGTGGAGAGTGTGTGATGGAGAAATTCATCCTTGGGAGAGCCATGAGTACACACTCAGTGTGTGGCTGGTAACACTGAGATTGATCACATCTTTCCACCCCATGGATGCATAACACACCTATACATTAATTTCCCCAGGACTTGCGCCTGGTGCAAGGCACAGCCTGCAGGGAAGCACAACTCAGGGGCTGCTTCCCACAGACCAGCACCTCTGTCTGAATGAGGTCTTCTGTTGTCCACCAGGAACTCAAAATCTGATCCCGTGATTCAGCCACAGTTTTTCCATGGTTGAAATTAGAGAGCATGGTGCTGCTCCACCCCCCAGGATGGGGTGCATGGATAAATAGCTGTTAATGATCCTCCCATCTTAATGTCTGATACTCTGGAAGAGCCTAAGAAATGATTGATAGCTCTGTTTTCAGAGCAAGCTTTGAGCATTAGCATGCTCAGTAAGACACAGAGCCCTACTTGGAAGAAGAGGAAAATAGAAACATGCTTCTGAATAGCTGCTTGTTAGCTGAGCAAAGTCCATTCTCTGCACTGAATGCAGAAAATAGCATGTGAACATGCAATTATAGACAATCATAATGTATAAGCACAAGGAGACCAAAATAAAATGGTACAGGAAATCTTAATTGTGACATTTTCTAACATCTGAGCACTTTGCTCTGCAAATGGAGAGTTCTTTTAACACAGGGATTTTTCCCCTTCCAGGTTAATAATATACAACCTAAAACATGGCCAGATCCCTTTGTCGTTTTCTTCTCAGGTGTTCCCATTGTTGGCACCACGTTGCAACAAATTTGGCTGATGGGACATTGTACAGATAAGGTTGCAAAGCAATTCACATTTCATCTAAATACAGCCATTTTTTTATCTTCCCCTCTTTCTGTGCATAATGCTTAATTACAATCATTAGGAGGATCTGATAAACTGTCGTTTAATCATCCCTTCCTTCTCCCTCCTCCCCTCCTGTGTTGTTCCATAGCTTTATAAACCTAAGGAGTGAGGATGACAGAAATCATACACTGTGTGTATATATTTGGGTGACTCATTTCCCCTTGGGGCATATGTACAATTTTGCCCAGTGACAGATACAAAAACTTTCATCTAATGTGTTACCACCGCATGAGCAGAGACAGCTCTTGCTTGGAGGCAGGGGGTGGTAGGCACTGCCACAGGAAACAGGGATGGAAGTTGGAGCTGTCAGTGATTTGTCATCTCGGACAGTCAACCCTAGGTTAAAACCTTCTGGAGAAGAAGAAATAAACTCCCATTTCATTCCTTCAGTTGTTTTCTGATATGCATCTACTGACGACCATTCAACCTGTTGCCATTATCCTTTGGTTTTTGGTTGTTGGCAGCCCATATACTACAGGCATCACAACTATTTAACCTCATTTCAGAGCATCCAGGTGCTGTACACATAGCACAGGCTGGAAGGTGATGGTTCTTTTTGTTTTCTTCAGCTAATGTGCTTTGCTTATTCATTTTCAAACACCAGCATTATGCTTTGGCTCACAGCATTACATAGGAACATTTATTTGTGGTTTTAAGGATCCACTGCACAATAGAAGTATTGTCATTGCAATTACTCATGCAAGTTAATAACATCCATTCATCTCTCAGAGACCCCTTCAGTCCCTGATCTCACCCTGTGGGTTATCACATCTACTTTGTAGGCAGAGAATATAGGCAGGCAGAGAGGAGATAGCCAAGGTCATGCCTTATGCCAGCACCAGGAATGACCTCACTGTCTCCTCATTTCCAGTACAACATTCCAAACTTCAACAGTCTTAAGTAATGGGATAAATCTCCAAAAATGTGATGGAGGGGCTGGAAAATACCCATCCTTGTAGATTCCCACCACAGTTTTGTTCCTGCCAGTCTCCTGCTGTGATTTATTCTCTGCTAAGTTTTGCCAGCACATAGCCAGCAAAGACAGATCCTCTTTTTACTCCGTCTTGGCAACTTATTACAGGGTATCAATACCCTGAAGTTGTTATCTGGTACACAGTCTGTGTTGGCTAAAGGATTTCTGCACTTACTGTCCCCCATTAACTGGTGCTGGCCATCAGCAGTTTCACAGCTGCTCCAAGACACAACTGGGCTGATCTTAGTAAGCCATGGATCTTGCTACTCTCCTCCATGGAGATGAGAAGTTCAGGCTGAAATGAGAAGCCCTCATGCCCTAATTAGCTTTGCCTTGGCAAACATGAAAACAGTGGTTATCAGAGTGCCAGCTTTTGTAATTATGATAAAGTAAATGACATACAAAGCACTTGTTTGCTGAAAGACTCTTTGACTGGAGAGACAAGGGACCAGCTAATTGGATGATAGATGGAGATGCTGTGTTAGGTATCCTCTCATCCCATCCATGCAGTGCTGGAATGGAATTTGAGGTTCAGCTCTGCTTTCTGGATTGAGCAGTGCTGCAGTGTTTGCTGGGATCTTGCTTATTTGAAGTCCCAGGATGGAGCTGGAATGATTTCTGGAAGGAACCCATCCATGATGTGTGTGGTTGAGTGGGACTTCCAGGGATGTCCTGTTGCATCAGTGGCGTCCTGCTGGTGGTGTGATGCTGCTTCCTAGAGATTCATCATCCAGATATTTCCCAAAACCTAATTTTTTTAAATTTCTTCCTTCCTTCCTTCCTTCCTTCCTTCCTTCCTTCCTTCCTTCCTTCCTTCCTTCCTTCCTTCCTTCCTTCCTTCCTTTCTTTTTCACAAAGAAAAGGTCTGGGAATCCAAGAGGTCAAGTTTGATGCAGTCCCTCTTGTTCCTCACAAAACTGTACCATGACCTGTGTTGGGACACTTTCAGGGAGATCATCAGCACGGATGATGCTTAGCTATGTCCTAACCGTACCCACCATTCCTCTATTTCTGCAAAATATTCTGGGCAAAGTGTAATCATCTGCAGTACTGGTGACAGAGAGAGGACCTGGTCGGCCAGGTTGAGCTACTCATCCTGGGGATTGATGAAGCCACCAGAATTGTCACGCTGCATCCTATAGCTCCTGTCCCCAGCTATCACCAGTGCTAAGTGGCATAAAATCAACCCCTCACTCCATCTTTTAGGGAGGGGAGGGGAGGGGAGGGAAGAGAGGTAAGCCCTTTTGTCAGGCTCTGGACCATGAAAGAAGACATTCAGAACCATATCTTCATCCTTGCACCCACAGGGACCTCAGTGTCGATGCAGGACTGACTCACGCCCAGTTCCAGGTCCGCCCGGTCCCTCAGCCCTATCAGCATTACTTGGCTACACCTCGGATGCATCACTTCCCCAGAAGCACATCCTCAACACAGATGGTAAGTGAAACACTTTCGCTGAGAAATGTTTTATGCATTGTCTGCCAGAAGGCAGTCAAAATAAAGGCTGCTATCTTTCTATCACCTGTCTCCTGCGAATCCCACTTATCTCCGGCCGTGGGAGGGAGTGTCTGAAAGGATAATGTTGCATCATTGCACTCTGGATTAGAGACAGGAAAGAAAAGCTCAGCTGCTCTGGAAACAGTCAGTCCGTTGCCTGCGGAGCACTCACAGTCTGATCTGCATAAGCCTTGGCAGGATGTGAGACTTAGCAGTTATTGGTAATAATATTATTATGGTATACTGGAGTAAAGCATGGGTTGCCAGGGCTCCCTGCAAGCCGAAGGATTGGTGGTAGGTGGCACCTTCCCATGCTCACGGACCTTCATCACGTTTGCCATCAGCATCAGCCTTGATGTCACACGTTGAGTTTTTCATGACCTGTTGCACCAGTGGAGGTGGGATTAGATGTGAAGGGTCACTTCCATGTTCTTCTCCTAGCAGGGAGTTGCATTTGGAGCTGAGCCACCCTGCTCGTCCTTGAAGCAGCCTTATAAAGCTCACAGATGTTCTTTCCCATCCTGCCATGTTCAGAACCTGACAATTGTACACTACGACAAGGCTTTCAGTATTGGAGCCTGGATGAAGAAAATTGCACCGACTTAAAAATAAAAATTAAACTAAATCTCTTTTCAATCCAGTCCATGTTGAGAGATTGGAACTTCAGTGTTACAGATGCAGTGGGAATTATTATAGCAAAGAGTTAATTCAGAAGACATGCCTGCTGGTTGTTATCATTTATAGGATATCTATTTAATTTTGTTGCTGTTGTTGTTGTTATTCTGTTCCATTTTGCTTATTAAAAGATTCCCACTGGGGAAGGTGCTGGCCTGCTCTTTCATTTTCAATTTTTTTAAGCACTAAATTTAAATCAGGGTACACGAGGGATTTCTTTGCACTAGCACAGGTGGCTTTATTTTTCTCCCTTGCTTCTTGCAGGTTGTTCATGAAATCAGAAATTACCCTTATCCTCAGCTCCAGTTACTTGCTCTTCAGGGACTGAACCCAAGCAGGCACACATCGGCTGTGCGGGAGAGCTATGAAGTATGTATCCTGGGGACAGGAATAATTATGTTTTTAAACCCTGGGAATCCATGCAAGCACTGGCATAAACTCATCAGACCCTGCCTTCTGGCATGGGAGTCTCAGATAAGAACGGGACTGAACCTGCAGCAATTAATAATAACCAAGAAGCCAAAGCTGTTGAGTGGATTTGGTGAAAGATGGTCTACCCCACGTGCTTTGGTCTGGCTCCCAAGTCTGGGAAAAAAGTGCTCCAGTTCTTTGTTTTATCGACTGATTGATTGATTGATGATTGATTTTTCCAAACTGACAAATGAACTTCACCCTGATTTCTTAACTAGTGGATATCCAGCTTTCAGCTCCGTGCCTTGATCCCTCAGTGAATATGGCCCAAGAGCCAAAACTCAGATCTATCACCAAATTATGACTGATTTGGGTTCAATGGACATTTCCACCAAGGACAGGGCAGGATGGAGCTTTGCTCCTTGGCAGTGGGGTAGTGGAACCTTGCGTTCTTCCACTGATGCTTTTTTGCCATCTGTTTTTCTGTGCTTCAGGAGCTGCTGCAGCTGGAGGACAGGCTGGGCAGTGTGAGTCGGGGGGCTGTCCAGAACACCATTGAGAGATTCACCTTCCCCCACAAGTACAAGAAGGTGAGAGCCCTGAAATCACAACGCAGCCACCAGCCCCCCTTGGTTGGCCGAGTGCTGTGTGTGTGGAATGCTCAGAAGGAAGGATTTTGGTGGGTTGCAATCCTCAGCACTGCCAAACCAACACCACCAGCTCAAATATACCCCAAAAAGGAGGAGTACTTTTTGGTTCTTTAATAACTTGTGAGACTCCCAGGTTGGTGCAGTGAGGAAGCTCAGCTGGCTGATTCTTGCTTCTAGGCTAGGAAATTACAGGTCAAATTTTCAAAAGGTTCTCAACCTTCTCCCACCCAGTGGAAAGGAAGTGTCTACAGCAAGAGGGCTTCGTGCATGGAAACACACCCTTTTCTGCAAGAAGGTGGCACTGGCAGGGCATTTTTTCTCCCTTTGCTTTGCGAAGGGACATCTCTGCTGGAGCTGATCTCCTGTCTGTAAGGATGTGTGTGCCAAATTTTTGGGCTGTACTAAATCTAAAATGATAATATTGCTCACTTGGGTAGAAATTTCATTTTTGTCATTCCCAGCTGAGAGGGAACAAGGAGCTATATTGCACTGTCCACGTTGGAAGCGAGTCAACTCTTTGCTGCGCTTATCTGTGACCACATCTCCAGTGGATCCAGAGAAATTCTATTAGTTGGAATGGATACATTGGAGAAAAAGGAAAGAAAGGAGCTGAAAGTGCAAGCTCTGCTCCATGGCTGTGCCAATAGGTCACAGTGGTTGCCCTTACTGGCAGAGGTGACTCTATATATTTTTGGAGTCGTCAAGAGAAGCCCCCATCAAGGGATACTATGGGGCCATCCTTGCCCCTAGGAGAACAGAGGTGGTGGTGACTATTTTGTCTGGCTCTCCTAAGCTCTTATTTTTTGCCTTGTTGCAACTACACAGGCTTAGCAGAGTGTTAGAAAATTCAGTCGTAACCAAACTATGTCTTTCTTCTTGCTGCAGAGAAGACCACAGGAGGGTAAAGCTGAGCAAGAGGATGGAGAGGAGTCAGATACTGATGAGAAATGCACAATCTGCCTGTCCATGCTTGAAGATGGAGAAGATGTCAGGTATGACCCTTTCCCACTTCTTGACTGTCTCTCAGTGACACCTGAATTGTGTTTGTTCAATAACACCGCTGTGCTTTCATGAGACTGTCCCTGTTCTTGTCCTGACAAGCTCACTTGGGTTATTTCAGGGTTTAGGAAAGAAAACTCTTTTTAATTGGTTATTGGTAAGGGCCATAGTTACCAGAGCTCTGAGCAGTAGGACCTCATGGGTGTGGATCACCTGCTCCAAAACCATACTGTTGGTCAGATGTTAGAGAAGTGTGGGTGGCAAGGCACAGGAAGCCATCTGGGATTTGTGGTCATCAGTGTGTGGCCTTTGCAGATGACCAGTGCACGATAAAAGATAACATGGATGTCAAATACGGGGGAATTTGGCTTGTGGCCAGGAGAGGGCTATTTTCTTGCAGAATAAGTGAGGTTACTCAGGCTGTATGTCTTCAAGCAGCCATTGTGAGTGACAGCAAAACCCCTGGTAGCCATCAGAGAGATCCCCAGACTCTTGGCTGTGCTGAAGCTCTGCTTGTGACAGAAGATGGGGCCAAGAAATTGCAGGAGGCTGAGCTACCATAGGTGCAAGAGCTGTGAGTTGGCACTACTTAGTCCTTCTCCTCACACATTAGCCAGCCATCATGAAAAGCTCTGATCCTCTTGCTTGGATCCTTGTGATTTGGGATCCCTCTGGCTCATGAGAACCACCAAAGAGATGACAAAGGTGACACAGGTGAAAAGCAAGCTCATTTCCTGGAGCACTCCAGTCACTCAAGTAGGAGTAGTGGAAGCCACTGAAGTCACAATCATCAAGAACCCAATAACTTAATACTCCTGAGATGTCTAAAGTAGTAGCCAGGGTAATTGCTGATTGCAGTTGGTCACTGCAACTCGGGCCAGGAGGGCACGGGGTTTTCTAGAAGATTTATATCCGAGGACAATAATCTCTGACCTACTGCTGACGTTGCTGGTGGAGGCTGTATGGCCTGGGAAGCACAAGTGTCACTGCATTGCTGCATTCCCCAGTCCTGGATTCTGTTTTCTGGATTTCTTAGGCTTCTTCCATCCACATTGTGCCTAATGGATAGTAGAATAAAATTACAAAATCATAGAATCATTCAGGTTGCAAAAGGCCACTAATCATCCAGTACAACCCCAGCGCCCTGACCATGTGCACTAAAGTATGTCACCAAGTGCCAAGTCTCCATGGTTCTTGGATGCCTTCAGGGATGGGGACACCCCCACCTTCCTGGGAAGCCTATGCCACTGCATCACCACTCTTTCTGAGAAAACATTTTTCCTAATGGGGGGTGCAGAAGGAAATCAATGAGCTCGTAGACTATAAAACTAAAGGGTTTTCTGCAATTTTAAAAAGTTGACGGTGCTTCTCTTCCCACAGGAGGTTACCCTGCATGCATCTCTTCCACCAAGTATGCGTGGACCAGTGGCTGGCCACCAGCAAGAAGTGCCCAATCTGCAGGGTGGACATTGAAACACAGCTCGGCTCGGACAGCTGAAAGAATTGGCTGGACACACCATTTTTCCTTATCAGGTCGTATGGCCATAAACCCTTGCAGCAAAATTTTTTGCCTTCTGAGCCATTTGATTGAGAGGAAAAGTCTGCAGGCACGTTAGAGAGGGAGAGGAGGAGGTGTCGGTACAATATCTAGCGGTAGGAGATATTGCACATGCGCAGGATACGGGCCTGGTGAAAGGGAGCTGGCATTCCCGGAGCTCAGAGACCCCATGCTACAGAAGATTTAGTGTTGAACATGAAGGAACTAGTTGTGGTAGTCTGGCCTGTCAATCCTGCATTTCATGAGGATTGTATATATACCTCTCGAATACGTAGAAACATGTTATAGGGGTCCTTTAGCTATTTCTATGGATGGCAGCTGGAGCATGTTAGCTTAAGAAATGTTGTGTTTGATGCCCTACTCATCTTGTGGTGGACATGTTGCTGTTACCTAATTTGCACCAAATATTTTTTCATAGATTCCTTATGTTGGTGCCTGATTAATACATTGCAAAAGGGGAATGCAGAGGTCAAGCTTTCCCACCCTTGGGGGGAAGAGGCGAAAAAGCAAAATCCTGTTTACAATCAGAAGGGTTGCGCTCTTTTTCTCAGCCACGCGTGCTTTCTTCCCTTGCCTTTACAGTGTTGCAAATTTAGAGATGCTTAAAAAACATTAACAAAAAAAAAAAAAAAAAAAAAAAAGAAACAACAGACAAATTGAAAATGGAATGAATGAAGCAATAAGGAGATGCTTCATTCCTGCCGTTCTGCTGCTGCTGAATGCTTTCTGTAGGGGCATAGTGTTGAGGTGGATACTGTTTCTTTGCTCTTTGTGTAGCTCAGCATGCTGAAATCCACGCTAAGCTGTGGGCTGTCTCCATGATCTCTGTTATCCATTGTGAATGATTTTACTGATATGGTAAGCTGGAGGCTGGTTGGCTTCAGAGCACCCGTGGCTCAAGTCTCCCCAGGGTTGGACATCTCCTGTGATTTAGGGTATAGCTTCTCAGAAACATTGCAATAGGACGAAGGGAAACGGTTTCAAATTAAAAGAGGGGAGATAAAACTGGATATAAGGAGGAAGTCCTTTACAATAAGGATGGCGAGGCCCTGGCACAGGCTGCCCAGAGAAGTGGTGGTGCCCCATCCCTGCAGACAGCCAAGGTCAGGCTGGATGGAGCACTGCTGGAGCTGTGGGTGTCCCTGTGCACTGCAGGGAGTGGGACCTGATGGCCTTTAAGGGTCCCTTCCCAGAGAGGCTGTGGATGCCCTGGCCCTAGAGGTGTTTAAGGCCAGGGTGGATGGGGCTCTGGGCAATCTGATCTAGTACTTGATCTAGAAGCTGATAACCTGTGGCAGAGGGATTGGAACATGGTGATCCTTGAGGTCCCTTTCAACCCAAGGCATTCTATGGTTTTATGATTCTATGATTCATTCTGCGATTCTATGATTTTGGGAAGATTTCTCACTCTGTGACTGGGCAGGGCAGAGCAGCAGCCAAACTGCCCCATTTCCATCCCCCATCCCAACCCATAGTAGATGGGAGAAAGGGAGTGGGGGATCACTCTATTGCATGCAGACGCCGTGCTTCACCTCCCTGGTGAGAAAACACAGCGTAGAGAGAATAAGCAGATGTACAACACAGGTAGAAGCCTTTTTTCCTTTCTTTTCATTTTTTTTTCCCCTTAATCCACTCAAGCTCTTAGTCTGCAGGGCTGAATCTCCCCGAGCAGCTCTGATAATGGGATGGGAGGAAACTCGTTGCTCATGAGGAATTGCTGATGCATTGGTTGTTTGGGCACAGTAGGGGAATGCTGGATCTAGAGGGTTTGATGCTTTCTGGAAGGCTTGGTTTAGCCCTGCATTGGAGCATTGTTAGATATTTCACTCCGTATTCATATGGAGAATGAGATGGTTATTAAAATGGAATCTAATCTATCAATGTTCATTAAAATAATGTATAAAATTGGAGGCATTCCTCAGAGGAACGGGACATTTCCATCCCCCAAAACACAGACATCAGCCATAGAGAGCCAGAGGACAGCTCTCCAGAGAACCAGTACTCACAACCTTTTTTTTTTAAAAAAAAAAGAAAATACTTTTTTTTTTTCCCACACTGGGATAGCAAAACAGGTATGCTGAGGAGCCAGGAGGATGAATTGGAAACTTTATATATTCAAAAAACAGATGTGCAGAGCTGAGCACTGGCTCCTCTGAGCCAAGCGATGCACCTCACATAGAAATGACCCTAAATTGCCATCTGGGAGATGGTGGCATTCCTGTAAGATCTAAGTGGAAAGTGCCCTCCTCCAATGTTTCCTATTCTAATTTTTACAACATAAAGAGAAGTGAAGGAAGTGACATGGGGATCAAAAAGCCTTTCTTCCTCCTCTTTCTGTGCCTGTAGGAAGGAGGAAGCAAAGGGAGGAAGCAAGGGGAGGGTCATGATGACATATAATTGCCATAGGGACAAATATTTACCACCTGGCCTGAGCACGGGACCCCAGTGTGAGGAGGGATATGGGCTCCTTGGGGCAAGGAATGACCCGTGAGTACATCCAGAGAGATGTACCATGGAGACACCCAAGGTCAGACTGTACAGGGCTCGAGCACCCAATGGACTTGTGGGTGTCCCCGTTCATTGCAGGACCAGGTGGCTTTGAAGGCTCCCTTCCAACTCAACCCGCTCCATGGTTCAATGACACACATGGGGCTTGCTCCAGCAGCAGCAGATTGGAGCAGCATTAAAAATAACACTCATGCTACTAATAATACGGACAGGAAAAAAGCAAGACGTCGTTCCTGAGAGACACTGTAAGCTGTCCTGGTGCACCTAGGTGTGAGCTGGGGGCAAAGCAGGGGAGGAGCGAGGCCATAGGGCCCCTGGCTGGGCAGGGAGGAAAGGAGGAGCGCATCCAAACCGCGTGTTTTCTTAAAGCCTATGCGAAAGTATTACTATTTGCCTAATGAACAAGCACAGTTTTTAGATGAAAAACCAGAAAAAGAAAAAAAAAAAAAAAAAAAGAAGAAGAAACACACACATACACACACGCAAGGAAAAACAAACTAACTAACAAACAAGAACAAGATTTAAAAAAAAAAACAATTGGTGAAGAAAAGCACCAAAAGTCCCATGGTCCGTTGTGAGTGACTGATCCCGCGGTGCGTGAGGACCTGCAGGTTCCTGTGTGGGTTGAAATCGTGTGTACACGACAGTAGGAGGAGCTGGAATAGAAACACACACTCCAGGAACAAAAACATTGATAGTTTACAGGGTTTTGTGAGTTTAAATGCCTTATATTTAACAATCATAATTTATGACTAACTTGTAGATATTGTGGGTTCTTATTTAATTATTTTTATAGTTGGTTTTTTTTGCATTTTTAATTATAATTTATTTATTTAGAAATTAATACTAATTTTTTTTATTACTCCTATTACCTCATTTTTGCATTGTTTCTGGGAATGGAATGCTTTGCATGCGTCGGTACTTTAAAAAGAAATTCAACATGGGATGTCGGGGATAATGCTTATCTTGTCGAAAACAAAAGAAAAAAAGAAAAAAAATCAGGGTGTGTGATTACAAACTGTATTACTGTGGTGCTGTTACCTTGGATACATTCCATAAAAATGCAAACCTTTGATTCTGTATGCTGTGACATAGTGGAAAACTGCAATATAGTGACTGTGTTTAGCACATATATATGAATATTATTTGCACTCATAATCAAACTCTGGTGATCCTTTCACTCACGTCCTCGTGCATTGAAGGGGATTAATGGCGTTCTCCAAAACCAAAATGTTTCAGTTGATTCGTGCCCTGTCCCAGTGCCACTGGTGATGCTCCCGCTGTTGCTGCATGCTTTCTGCAATAACGAATGCAAGGCTGTGCTAGGGGCAATGCATGCCTTCAGTGCATGACTCTGCAAATTGCTTCATACGATGAGGTAGGGAGCCCCGGTGCTGCAGTTCTGTTTAATTTTCAGTGCTTGTTCTGGCTATGTGCACCCTGTCAAACCGTCTCCATGAGCACCCAGCTGGGTGCTCCAGGGGAGGATGCAGGAGGGAATCGATGAGCTCACAGACTACAAACCCAAGAGTTTTTCTGCAGTTTATAGAAGCTGAGCCTCCCATCTTCTTTGACATGGAGGTTCCTGCTCATCGGGATGGTGGGACTTCAGCTCCTTCACTGCTTCCAGATATGGCTGGAAGGATGGGGCAGAGAAGGATAGGACGGTTTTGGGGATGATCTGGGATCCATTTGTAACACCGGGCAACGAACACAAACACTGGGCTATAATCCAGCCCTCCAAAATGACCTTGAAAGCCTTTCAATCAGTTTTGCTCCCACAGTCGGGGCAGAAAAACCTCAACTTGAGGCTTGTTAAATCCACTGTGTTACTGGGGCTACACCAGAACCCTCCTGTGACCTCAATGGGTCACCCTAAGGAGGACCAGCTCCCAGCTGATGTACCATTCCTGTATTGGTCCATATCTCCATCCCCAGTGCAGGTGTCCAAGTGTCCACATCCCCATCTGCATCCATGACCACAGTACTGCTAACATGCTGCCCCTTCCCCAGAGGAGCCCAGATACCCAGTGCTTGCGCCATGCAGGAAGGTTAAAGCACCCTTGACACTATTTTAAGCTTTAAGCCATAACTGCTCTGGGTCCACGCAGACGCTCAGCCGCGCTGAAACGGAGTTTGATGCATCTCCACCCCAAAAGGCTTTGGATGCAATTCTCTTTTGGGGCCGGAAGGCATAACGTAACCGTACCTTCATGCCTCCTCTTTTCCCTTCAGGGTGCTGCTCTGCTTTGTTGCCTTTGCCTTTGCCTTACCCCAAGTTTCAGACTCACGTTTTTTCCCTTTGCTGCTCCTCCCTTGGAGCCTGGAGCCATGGTTTTGGGCGGTGTGGGGATGGGGGTTGGTTGTCAACCCCGCAAAGACACCGAGAAAGGGACGCATAAAGCACGGAGCGAGCAAACAAAAATCCTCTCCTTTAATGGCCCGAGCCAGTGAAAGGATCACCCACATTTTTGTACTCCTACTGCTGTTCTGTTGTGCTGTGCAACATTTTGCTACATAGACTATTTTATAGAAGAAAGCTAGAAAAATATTTATTATTAATATTAAAGCAATAGTGCATTGAAGAAATGAAAAGACATTAGAAATTGTGTAAATGCTTAGATTCACTTTTGGTGGATTTTTTGTACTTTATTTATAACTAATAAAATGAACTGCATTGCTAACTATAAATCTGTGCCGTACAAAATGAGCTGGAAGGGCTCTTGTGTGGTCTTTATTTACCATCCTGACCCTGACTCCATTCCATCATGTAAAATCCCCTCCAGGTTGATGCCTGCGGCCTCTTTAGGGCAAATCCTTTAGCAAGTGCATGGTGGTAGAGCTTTATTCTGCCTCTTCCAACCCTGAATGAGTAGGAAAAGAGAAATCTACTGGAAAATGGAATTTTAAAAAGCACTTTTATATTAATGCAGGGAGAGCTGAACGCGTTTTCCATCCTTTTGTCACCCTTGGAGAACCAAAGCATGTCAACACCTAACTTTGCATCCTGTGCAGTCCCTTTGTGATTGGGTTGAGCACATCCTGGGGACAAGTGCTGCTGATAATAGAAATCTGGGGACCTGCTGGATACCCCAGCAACCTGTAAGGCTGCGTAAGGGACA